TGGTTAGGCTTTTCTGATTCTTTCTAGCTTAGTGTCTATGAGCATGAGAAGCTCACGGGGCAGGGCCACCACTATCAGTTTCTCTTCAAATTGTCTTAGGCTGTGTGCTTGCAGGATGCTTACAGCTGGGCTCCAGTATTGCTCATGGGTATCCCAGCATGCGACCGTGTGTGGCAGCAGTGAAATGGAGTGGCAACATCTCAGGACGGACCACATGTTCTTCCTGCTGCCTCCATGCGCCTGCGTGTGCACCTAGCTGCTGCTGCCATGCATCTGCGTATGAGCCTAGTGAGCAAGCAAACTTCCTATACTCTGTCTTGAGGACATCACCTTCCTTCCCTCACTCTCCATACTGAAACACCGGTTCTCTGCAGCACAAAGCATCTGTAGATTTGATTCGGAGCTGGACTTCAATGCCAAGATTGGTTCAAGAGACACCCACAACCGTACTAGAGCATTAGAATGTCTTTGGGGTTCTCAAGATCGGGATATGCAGGTTTCCCACCCCTGGAGAAGTGTAACTTAAGACAAGCTGTCCCTTCTTGACATGGCTTTGGCCCACTAAGAACTTGCTAGGAGGCGATAAGAAGTCCTCTGGAAAGCAAAGACTTCTGCGAAAATCCCAGCTTGTTTCGAATATCATGATGCAGACCCCAGAGAACTGCACAGCTTTTCCGTTGCTAGGGCTGCTAGCACCATGCTGACATTATTTCTGGAATCTGCCCCTTTCCACTCTTACCCCTGCAGAGGGAAGAAACCACTTCTTCAGTCTGTGTAGCTGGGTGACCCGTTACAGAGTATTTCGCTTTCTCCCTGTACACAGCTGTCTCCAGTGTCTGTGTTCTCCTAGGTTCTAGATTCTCTCCCACGTACGTCTGGTTTTCTCCTACAGCCATCCCACTCATGTGCAGCTCTACCCCCGTTATTTGGCTCTCTTCTGTGCAGCAGAGGTAAGCTCTGGGTACTACTACAAATCTCTAAATGGCAAGGTCAGGAATTTCTTGGAAACAAACTTTGTTTTTTTCCTAGAAGTAAATTAGTCAATGAGTCTGATGCAATGTTTAACTTTATTGAGAAATAATAGGAGCTATTCAGTTATTGTTATATATATTCAGTGAATCATTTGATAATTATTCACAGAAATAATGTATGATTTAATTACTAGAAAACAAAAAATATAACATTTAATTACATATTCATTGAAATTTAAAGGCTGTTAGTTTAAGGAACCATCAGAAAAACCATTTACCAAAGGCAGAGGTTTCTCGTTTGAATTGAAGGTTTGAATTGGAAGCTTCACGGTATTGGTGAGAAAACCAGTGGAAAGATATAGAAATCCTTAAATGATAGTCCTGGATTCGGGAGAGCTTTGGGGGAATGGGATGGGTGGGATGGAGGAAGGGTGGATATGGGAACAGGGAAGTAAATAGCTTAATTAAGGGAGCCATTTTAGGGTTTGCAAGAGACTGGACTCTAGAGGGGTTCCCAGGTCCAAGGAGAGGTCCCCAGATTGTTCCTTGGGCTGCAGAGGAGAGGGTGCCTAAACTGGCCTTGTCCCATAGTCACACTGATAAATATCTTGCACATCACCATAGAACCTTCATCTGGCGATGGATGGAGATAGAGACAGAGACCCACATTGGAGCACTGGACTTAGCTCCCAAGGTCCAAATGAGGAGCAGAAGGAAGGAGAACATGAGCAAGAAAGTCAGGACCACGAGGGGTGCGTCCACCCACTGAGACAGTGGGACTGATCTAATGGGAGCTCACCAAGGCCAGCTGGACTGGTAGTGATGGAGCATGTGATCAAAATGGACACTGTAAATGTGGCTGGCAATGAAGGCTGACTGAGAACCCAAGGACAATGGCACTGGGTTTTGATTCTACGGCATTGGCATTGACTGGCTTTGTGGGAGGCTGGTTTGTTTGGATGCTCACATTTATAGACCTGGATGGAGGGGGGAGGACCTTGGACTTCCCACGGGGCAGGGAATCCTGACTGCTCTTAGGATTAGAGAGGGAGGGGGAGGTGGGGAAGGGAAAGGAAAAGGGAGGCAGGGAGGAGGTGGAAATTAAAAAAAAAAAAAGAAAGAGCAAAGAAAGAACCAAAAAAAAAATAAAAAGAACTCAGATTTTAAAGTTATTCATGAACACGAGGGAAAAGAGTGTTTAGGAGAGCAGACATTGGATAGGATGGAGAGGGAGCCTCTGGAGATGAGCTTCAGGCCTGAGTATCCCGGCACGGGCCAGTGATAGTCTAGTAGTCTAGTCTCTGGGTGTCTGAAGACCGCTGGAAACAGTCTGTGCATTTTCAAAGAGAAATCATAGTGTTTTGTAAACGAACAGGGAAAGCAGCAACTCAAGAGCACAAGCTGCAGTTGGTAGGCGCAAGAGAACAGGGAACAGCACTGCTACTACCGAGAATATGAGGCAGAGTGCCAATGCTTGAGAGGCAAAAAAAAGCAACAAGCTGGTTGAGTTGAGACAGATAGAAGATGTAGTACATGGAAAGCTACAGAAAGCTACAGAAAGCTACAGAAAGGTGATGTTCAACACACAGTAGGTGTCGATAAAAGGATAGTGTGGAAGACCAGCAGGGCAATGGCAGCTTCCTTCCTGGAATATGATGGCAAACTAGTCTTTGCACTTACATTCTTTTCTGTCCACATAGGTCCTTGTTGTATGGATCCTAATACTAATTCTTTCATATCAACATAAAAAGCAAGAATACAAACACAATTTCAAGATAAGCCAGAGTGAAATATTTTCCTCTTTATATCCAGGTATTTCTTTGAACTAAAATAAAATATTCCACATATAACCAAGAATATATTTACTGAGCAACAGATTTATCGTTAAACATGTTTATCATAAAGCTTGATTATACAGGTAGAGCATGACACTTCAAATTTTCAACAAATTTTAAGGGAGGCATTTCAACTTGTAGATCTATATAAACACAGATGTGAAAATGTATCACAGTTTTAGAAATCTGGTAAACATACTTGACCTTACGAAAAGGAAAATGAAACTAGTAATTTGCAAAACATTAAATTCTAGGAAATGCACATATTTCTTCTGGAAAATGTATGTGTTGGGTTATGTATGTAGGAGAATAGAAAGAACAGCTGGTGTTGGAATTGGGTAACTCAGGAGCCAAGCATTCTTAGAGAAAACCTTAAAACAAACGGAACTCTAGAACTGGGGATCTGTTTGATAGCATGCTTGCCTAGCAAGAGCAAGGGCTTGGATTCAGTCCTCAGCACTACAAAATAAAGAAAGCTTCTTGTGGTGTATGTGGAACAGTTGTAGCAATTCCCTTAACAAAGGCTAGAATAAGGAAGCAAGGAAATCTTCAGTTTCCTTACTTTGATATTATAATCACCATATCAAATTTGATATATTATCACTTTATGAAATTAAAAATTTGAGTTCAGATTTTCAATTATAGGGAAATAAATGAACTTATTTATTTTCTAGCTCTTCAAAAAGCTGCAATCATGGAAAAATAGAAGAAGAAGAAAGTAGCAAACAGACTAATATGAAGGGTTGTTGCAGTTAACATTGCCTGTCAATCTGACACAATCTCAGTTGAGTAATTCCTTTTATCTGGTTGGATTTTTGTGGGCATGTCTTTGAGGGACTGTCTTGACTAATAATTGATGTCTACATTCTAATGGCCAAGCCCACTGTGGGCACGTGGTCCAGAGTTGTGTAAGGAGGCTAGCTGGACAAGTGAACCAGAGAGCAAGACAGCAAGCGAGTTCCTGCACTGACTTCCTTCACTGATAGGCTGTGGCTTGGAAGTGTAAGATGAAATAAACCCTTCCATGCCTTAAGTTTCTTTTGGTCAGAGTGTTTATTCATAGCAGCAGAATGAAAGCATCAGAACCAAAGAGGGGAATACAAATTCATAAAATATTTAAAGGAAAATAGTATTCATTATTATTGAAATGGAATTTAACAAGAGTTACAAAACTAGGGTTTCAAGACTGTCCCTTCATGAACCTAAAATCTACAAAAGGAGACAGTAAGTCTTATGTATACGATTTATTTATGAATTTATTTATGTTATGTGCATAACCGTGTGTTATGTGCATAATAGTGTGTTCTAAAGAGGTAAGAAAATGTGTTGTCAATCAACAGTCTCCCCAAAGAAAGCTTGAAAGTTGTTCCATTCTAATAGGGTGTAAGATTTGTTGTAGGAGACTCAGAAAAGCAACAGGTACTAACTTTAGTGAGAACGGACAGGAGTAACTCAGAAGATTTAAAGAGACAGGTGAGCTGGGCAAGCTATGGGGAGGCTTGAGTATAGTGCTGAGGCCGGAGACTGATTCAAGAGCTAATTGGGAGCCACTTCAGCTTTTCACGCAGGATGCTAACTTCAGAAATATGTAGATGCAGTATTTCTATTATGGAAAACAAACTGTTGAGTGAAATGAAACGCTAACGTTGTCATATATTCTGTAAGTGCTCTGACTGGCATGGAATGTCATTAAATGCTTAAATAATAAAAAGCTAGATTTTTTTAAAAAATTGCTTCTGAAAAAAAATTGGTTCTCCAGTTGACAATATACCCTTTAATAAAGACATAGATGGCATTAAATTTGAACATGCTGAAGATTCCTGCAAAGATGACACCCAAAGCTTGTCTTTAGATGACCTACTAGATTAATATGCTGTGCTATACGCTGGATTGTGCCCGACCAAAACCAAATGATTTTACAGTCTCCAGAGCTGTGAGAGGTGAGGTTCCATTGTCAAAACCTCTCGGGGAATATGAGTTTTATAGTGAAACAGATGTGTCTTGGGCGGTCCTTCACTAATATTCTCTTTCCATTCTTCCCGAAATATTATTTTTGTCTCTCTCACATGTGAAAGGCAGACTAGAGAGGGCAGTGAAGGTTAACTGAGCGTTGCTGGGTCACTGCATTTATTGTCTAATTTGCTCCAGGTAGGAACACGCAACACAATGATATGTAAATCATGTTTCAAAACAACTTTATTGGAAAAAAAGGTGATAGAAAAAGTGTACAATTTGTAATTCACAATTAAGTCTTCTAATAGCATATGTACAGCTACACATGTTAACCACAGTGGACAAGGAAAATAACAGTTCTTGATAACGTTTCTTAAGGATAATCAATAATTTCAATTAATTTATTTTTCATCATCACAAAATTACCACAATTATCTAGCTACATGACCAGTGTCACTACATATCACAGGAAGATTGTCCACCCACACTTTACTGAGACAAAGACAACCGCCATTAATGTGTTAAATGTACACAAGGCCGTTAAAAGGGGTGTTATTCCATGTATAAGACAAGATGCGGCATGTAGTTTATGAGCAGATTTGATTTAGTATTCACTATGCCAGGGAGTAAGCATAGATGTGTTTTGGCATTGAATTATTAAAATAGAAAATAAGAAAATTAGAGAAATAAATCCAGATTTTAACTTACAGTAGATACATTAAAATAGGAAATTAATTAGAGCCTTAGTTTTTGTTCGAGTTTTTTTCCTTTCCTTTGTTTTTTCATTGTTTTGTCTTTTTCTATAAATGAGTGCTATGAATATATCACAAGTTAAGGAAAGATATTAGCCAAAGAAGGTACCAGCATATGAAAAACAAATTAAAAAGTACCAGGTAGGTATTTTTGCTTACAAAAAATTTAAACTGTAAAGTCACAAAATATATATAAAAACGCCACATTGAACGAGGCAATCATATTCTACCGAAACTGGTAGCGTGCTCCGTAAGCCACTTGTCCCATTCGCCTGGTCATACGGTGGTCACCGACAGAAAGGCATTATGGACTCTTGTGCCATCTGGAGACTTGGCTCCGTGGGTCATCAGTTCTTGGATTGTCATCCAGTTATCCAAGATTTTCTTGTTTCTCTTTTTCATCATCTTTTTGTGGCTCAGTTCAATGATGCTCAACTCCTTCTTGCCCTCGCCGCTGCTCTGCGGGCTCTCCTTGAGACACTCCAGGCGGCTCCGCATCATGAACTCCCTGCGCCGGCGTTGCTCCTTGGCCCGGACCAGGTGTTGCTTTCTCTCTTCCTTGCTCCAGTAGCGCCCCATTTTCATCTCACTCATGGTGTCGTCGTCTGTGGTCATGCCGCTCCTCTCCTCCTTGATCTTTAAGGCACGTTCCTTCAGAATTCGGTCTCGCACTGGTCTCTTTGTTATGTACCGAGTCCCGTCACTCCTAATTTTTACCTTCCATTCCATCTTGGGCTCTGAGCCCTTTTGCGATTCCTTGCACATGCTCACCAAGCTGAGCTGACTCTGGGCGTACTCCACGGCAGATTTCTGTTGAATTAACTGCATGTAGCTTTGATAGTGCCGGGCATGTGCTGGGATGTTGGCATATCTGTAGGCGGAGCTGTGGTAAGGAGAGAGATAGGGAGTGGGCTCATTGACTGTGTTGTCCTGATCCGGCAGCTGGTGAGTTTCTAGACTCTTCTCCAGGCTTTCAATGCTACAGCCTTCGTCGGTTGTTTTGACATGGGTAGATGTATATTCATTGGTGCTCGATCTGGAAGCGGACTGATGGGCTGCCATTGTGCTTCTCAGATTTTTCTTATTGGCGAGGTTGATCATTCGTGGAAGGGAGCTGTCGGGCGATCGGTCTATAGTCAGCGGAGTGCTCCTGCTGCTCTCGGCCGTGTTGTATGCACTTGAGCTGTCCTTGTCTGACTTTTCGGGATGTTCCATGATGTCATCCAGTTTTCCCCTCGCCGTATCCAGGCTGGTGTTGTAGTTTCGGAATCCTCCGTCATGCAGTGCCCAGATGTCTCCATATTGGTCCGTCACTTTCTGGAGCCTGTGAGCCTGCATGATGTTTTGGCACTCCAGCTCAATGTTTCTGAGCTCTTCGTTAAGCAGCTGCAGCTCATGCTCCACCCCGTCCTGCGCCCCTCGGTTGCACTCAATCGTGCTGCTGGAGTAATACAGGTCATAGTCTCCGTGGTTTCGAATCTTAAGCTCCAGCAGCTGCTGGAATCCTTCACACACCTCGTGGTTGCTGGCGCAGTCGGAGTCCAAGCAGTCTCCACCAGCAAAACTCTCGTGGCCCTGAAGCTCAAGGCTGCCTAGGGTGTCTTGGCTCTGCCCCAGCGCTCTCTTGCTCTTCAAAGACGTTCTGTGCGGGTCCTCGGCTGCATTCTCCTGCTCCGAGCTCTCATCGTTCCGCAAGCTCTCATCCGTGCGCCCCACTCCGCTGTCCTTCTCCTGGTTGTTGGAAGAAGATGTGGCCGTGTCCGTTGTGCCTTCTTCTTCTTCCTGCTTCTTTGGCTGAAAATGAAGTTAAGAGATCATAAGAAATCATTCTGTAAAACACAATGGGCTAGTCTACACCTGCTTGAGAAACAATGCTTCACGGCTAAGGGGCGGTTCCTAGAAGCAGCTCTAACTGTAGCGTGCTTACTAATTAGCTCATGGCAGCCTTCTGTGCTGTGACATAGAGGGAATAAGCAATTCTTTTATTACGCTTATAACACTCACTGGGTGTAAACAAGACAGCGTACCTGGAAATGAAGGATCTTTACTTCCTGGCTTTCCTCTCTGGGAAACCGAGGTGAAAATATCCATAAAGTGACCCTGAGCTTCTCAGGTGAAAACGCACAGAAGCATAGCTAGGAGGATCGACATCTTTAGGATTTCGGTGATCTAGTGTTTGGGAGCCACAATCACCTAACTGCTGCTGCTCCTGGACTTTCCGTAAATGAATTAGAATAAGGCAGAAAGGACCAATTATCCAACACCGACTTATTGATTTATTTAGCGATTTACTTAAAGCTCTGCTTGTACTGCCCATTTGCCAAGCACGACTTCGCTTGCTCCCTGGTACAGGATGACCTGGAAAAATAGCCGAAACCGTGGACCATTGCACCGAACAACCTACTGACTCCCCAATTATGCTTCTGTAAAATCCCTTCTGGTTCCCCACCCTGCCTTGTGGATTTAGGGTATAAAATGAAAATACGAACTGGACCCAGGATCAAAGCCTTGCAGCAACTGTCCTAGCTTTGGTCCAAAAGTGAGTATTACATCCTTTCATCACGGCTATTGGTGTCAGGGGGCTTATTTCAGGATTCCCACAATGGAAATTCAGAGGAAAATTGAATGAAGATAGTTAAGGCTGGCATCACAAACTATTAGAGCCATGCTAACACGCTGTGCGGAAACTCCCAAGCCATCTCTCTGTCTGTAGAGGAAGAAGCTCCACTCCAGACACATCGAGGCTGTTAGTGGTAGCGTGGGCTGGAAGGCAAATCTCTCCTGTCTCTCCTCATCACTTAAGGCCAACGTGCCCTGTTCTGGATACATGGCCATAATGCACCTCCAAATCAATGCTTCTCCGAAGCAAGCACAATGTCCCAGGTCTCAATCACATAAAAAGCACTCTTAGCCAGTAATTTTCTGCAAAGAGGAGATTTGGCTTTGGACAGATGGAATTGGTTTAGGCCTGGACATACCTGGACATACAAATTCCTTAAATACCAAAATTCCTTGGCAGTGGTCCCTATGGCATGGATCCAGCTTTACAGACATAAGCAGATGGGTTCAGGCTGACTTTGACTAATACCATAACCTCAAACTCCTGTGAAGGATATGGCTACCCCCAAAAAGGAACTGTGACCTATAAAGATGCATGCTTTGAGGCCCTTCAGGAGGGTACAGCTCTTGCTGGTCAGCCATCTGAACTGATATCAGTCTGCCACGCCCAGCTTCCAACCCTCCATGTCCATCTCATTTTTTTCCAGAAGGAAACCTCTGGAAACAGGGTGTCTCTGCATGAGTAGGCCAATGAGAGGCTACGGCCTTGACCTGCCTTCCTGGTTTAGGTGTATGAGCTAAGTTTTTGGTCAAGGGACAGACTTCTGGAGGTGAAGAATCCCTTTAGGAGTCCTGGGCTGTTCCTGCCTTTGGAGTCTGGATGTAGAAGTGGAATAATAAGGTTCTATGTGGGAGGCACTGCACAGCTGTTTGGTCTGACCCAATTGGGAAATACACTCTTATTTAATTGCTTTATATTTCCCTGCAGACAGAAGAGGGCACCAGGCTGGTTGTGGTGGCACACACTGGTAGGATTTGCTGAAGGAGGCAAAGGCAGGAGGATCACAAGTTCAAAATGGTCCGGTTTTTCTACCTGGGCTCCAGGCGGCCACACCTTAACCAGATGTGATTGGTTGAGTGTCCCCATCATTTCCCCATACCCATTAGTTTCTTTTTCTCTGTTTTGTGAAGCCATGTTGGTGACAGTTGGTTTGATAGAGGCTGAGGGATTTGGGGGCTTCCTCAATATTCCTCTGAGAACTTTCTATATAAGAAGCACTCTGGTTCTGAAGAACAAACACCGCCTCCAGCCTTCCCTGGATACCCTGGGCAACAAGAGCCCCAAGATAGATACTAGCGTAACTTACTATAATGTCACATGGAAACACCTCAGAAGAACACGCCCCTCTCCTGGGTTAGAAGGAACTCAGCTCATCAGAAGGTGTACTTGAGAGTGGTCAGCCCTTTCCTGAGCTGCCTACGCACTTGGAGTCAGGGTGTTCTGAGACACTAGGAGGGGCTGTCTGGCAGATGGGTGACTCTGGGAAACAATGATAAGTCAGATAAACAGCACAGCAGCTTGAAACATCTCCTGAGTAGTGACTTTCCTTCAGCAACCAGCTAAGCCTCTTACCAAAGGAGTTCTGGAGACCACCGAGCAGAAGTTAGTTCAATCCCGCCAAGGTAAACTGTCCCTAGACTAGAATTCCTCAGACTTGAGCTGGGCGAAGCGACTGCTTTCCTCTTCCCTTGGTAACGGGAGACTTTCCTCTGTCTCCTGTCATCACCAGGCTTATGGGCAGTGTCTTGTGGTTTTTCTCTGGTAAATTCACTTCGCTTCTGTGTGCTTCCTTCCTGTGTATGCCTAGTGTGGCTCCTTTAAAGGTTTTTGTGGCTACTTCCCAGAGAGTTCTGAAACTGCAGCAGGTAAAGATCTTTAGCTCGCTAAGTTCTTGATCTGCCCATTTTAAGTCTGTTGATTGCTCCAAGCTACTTATGAGATTGCTGTTTCAGTCAGGCCTAGCTCAAAGGTAAATAGCTAGGAACAAATCCATAAACTCATTGGGAACCAAGACTAGGAAAAGAAAGCAAACAAGACAATACTACACCACCACTACCACCACTACAACAACACCATCATCACCAACACCATCACCAACACCAAGAACAATACACCACCACCACTACAACAACACTATCATCACCACCACCATTACCAACACCAAGAACAATACACCACCCCACTACAACAACACCATCATCACCACCACCATTACCAACACCAAGAACAATACACCACCACCACCACCACCATTACAACAACAACAACAACAATACCACTACCACCACCACCAACAACAGCAACCCCAGAAAGCTCCATCAGGAGCTATGGAGATGGCTTCACTTCAAAAATCAATCCAAATACTATATAAGACTTGCACTAAAAGCCTTAACGTTAGGTGATCTTAGCCTTTCCATTTGTTCATGAATATGATTCGGTTTTAACTTTCATTTTATTACCTGATAAATTTGTGTTACAGTCTCCTGGTTAACTGAAAGATACACAAACTTAGTGTATATGTGTTTCTGTACAGTCCTTTGTGTATTTATTACGTGGTATGTGTTTATATGAAAAAAATGGAGAAATTCTTTTCAAATTGTCTCAAAATAAAAACTATTATTTTAAATAGTCCCTGTTAGTTCAAATCATTAATATATGATTGGATTTATTGACCAGGTAGGATTATATTTATTGTTGTTAGATATAAGACATGAGAATCTAAATAAGCTTAAATACTTGAAGCATATTTAACTATTAGTTAATGTACTTAGTCTTCTTAAATTTTATAAAAATAAAGGACTATTCTGTAGGGTTATAGATGTATTTTCATCCATTTTGTTGCATGGCAGTTAAAGTTTGCTTTCTCCCTGAGTTGTACGAAAGTTACTAAGATTTAAAAGTATATTTAACATATGTAATTCTATATGCAAAGAACACAAAATGAAATGAAGATACCTTTTTACAAGAAAAACAGAAGGCAATGTTTATGAATAAGAAAAAAATTGTGTGATGTAGGAGGGAAGGAAAGGAAGGAGGGAGGGAGAAAGGAAGTGAGGGGGGAAGAAAATTAGAAAGCTAAACTAGTCAGAGAGGCTCCGAGCAGTCCCAGAGAGTTCGTAGAGGGCAAATCTTCTACAAGAAGAGACATTGTGGAAGCTTTAGTTCGTACCTGGTTAACCATAGTTTGGAGAAGGTTGTTTATATGAGTCTCTGAAAATTGAGCACTAACACACTGATATAGAGCCGGAATCTCAATTCTCTGTCTGAAATAAGAGATACTTAAGTTCTGTACTTGTTCTTAGTTTAAGAGAATCGGGCAGCCTTATTCTACTACCAGTCATGACTCTTATTTTAAAATGCTTCATGCGGTAAAAGTAACTTTGTTTTTTGGTCAACAGTTAATTCTTATCAAAATTCTACTTCGGTCACCTACACTTCTGCTTCTTCTCGAAAGTACTTGAGCTCAAATCCACTGAAACCTTTCCTCTTCCCTACCCAACTCCTCCTCTGTTCCCTTCCCCTCCACTCCTTCTCAACTTCATGACTTATTCTTTTTTAGCTTTTATTGGTGTGTGTGTGTGTGTGTGTGTGTGTGTGTGTGTAAATGCAATCCACTGACTCCATATGTGTTGCTCATGTGTGCATATATTTAGGGCTAATTGCTTAAGATTCGATAATCAGGGGGACTTGTCACTGGAAAGAATGATTCTCCTTTACTCTGAAACCTTTGTAGCTCTTTATTTGGGGGTAAGGCCTTATGAGTGTTCCTTAGTCTGCCTGGGCATGTTTTCTGGTGTTGCCATTGTGTAAGTTTTACTTAGATGTTCATATTACTGAGTTTTCATAGGTACAGCTTCCTTGGCAAATATAAAGATTTCTGTTTCACAGAAGACATTCTAGCCCCCCGGCTCTTAAACTCTTTCCTCTTCTTCTTTCTAAAAGGCTCCCTGAGCCTTAGATGTAGGAGTCCTTTTAAATACAATTTTTAGGGAAGCCTAAGTTCATGAATAAGTTAGGTTTTCTTTGGTAAAAATTGGTATGGCTACAGAAAATTTTTGTTTCTTTGTTTAAATCTAGAATATAACATGGGGTTTTAACTCAGTGGCAGTGGTACCTGCCTTTAATCCTAGAACTCGGGAGGCAGAGGCGGGCAGATCTCTGTGAGTTCAAGGCC